GAGAGAGAGAGAGAGAGAGAGAGAGAGAGAGAGAGAGAGAGAGAGAGAGAGAGAGAGAGAGTGTGACATTTACAAAGGGATAGAAATTAGTGAGTAAACAGCTCTATTGGGTGGAGAGAAAGGGAAGAACAAAGCAAGAGCCATCTTAAATAAACGAGAGAAACTTGTTAAGAAAAAGGGAAAGAACGTAGTCCCTAAAGCACTGTTTTCCAGCAGGTGTAGCTCACCACCAATAGACTGGAGACCCCTGCAAGATAGGTAGGAATGGATGCACCCATCATCACTCCTATCTGTTGTCGCGGGTGAAATTTTTCCTATTAAATGTGTAATGAACCCAGTCTCGTCCGAAAGGCAATCAGCAATGCAATGGAGGTCTCAATCCGGCACGACTCATGAAGTCTCAACTCGTTAATTACAAGTCCAAGCCTCGATCACAGGGCACAATTCAGGAGTATTATCCTGTCAAAGAGAGCATGAGATAAGATTAAGGGGAGAGAAGAGACAGAGAAGAGGATGAGGAGAGTCTTAATGATCGCCAACAGCACATGTATGTCTTCCTCTCTCCCACTCCCACTTCGGGCTTCTCCCCTAACGCCACGTCATCAATGCATGTTCCCCCCTGACGTCCTCTGTCATAATCACTGTGCACATCAGAACAGGGCGCCCGTCCTCCTTCCATGTCAGCAATCAGATATGGAGGATGGCGCAGCACTCTCACCTTCGTGGAGACAGCAGCAGATCACATGTCATCGCCGGGTAAGTCCAGGTAAGCTTCCCCACTTCTCCTGTCAGTCTCACAGCCCTGATCCTCCTCCTCCTTGCCAGTAGTTTCCATCTGGTCTACATCTATGCAGCAATGGCCGCTCCATCATAATCTCCCTCAAGGCTGGCGCCCACTCCCAGCATCTGGCACCAGCATACTGCTCCAGCAGCCTGCGTCATGACACCAGCATCAAGCCAGCGCAAGGCAGACTGATCTCTACGGGGTCCGGTCAACTCTTTATAGGGTCGACTCTCACGTTGACCAGCCTCCATTCTCCTTGGGTCGATGGCCCAGATGAATCGAAAGCCAATGGCCTGGATGCAGCGCAGTTCCCGGTTTCGCTTGTGTCCCATTTGGACTGGAATCTTCTGGATACCTGCAGACAAGCAATGATGTGCATCTGATTGACGGCCATGGCTGACCAGCGGGTTGACTTTGACTTTGGGCCTGGAATCCCGTGCTG